TAATAATGATAATAATAATGATAATAAGCATTTATATAGCGCTGTATCCCATACTAGTATAAGCTCTGAGCTGTTTACACCAATCACATAATCATTCACACCAGAGAAGATATTTCACAGAAACAAGAACAACCAGTTCAACCACATAAAGAAGAACTTTCACAACCATCCATGACTTCATACACGAAAGGACAGACTACAACACTATAACTAAGAATTAAACAAGTCAGTCTTGAGCAATTTCTAACTGGCTTCTACTTCTATTAACACCTTTCAGGACTTCTGAACCCCCAAGTAGAATGCTTTCTGTTTTTTCTTCATGCAACATATTCTTTTCATGAGAAAGTATTACACAGAACCATCAGTGACTCGTGTCTGTTGACTGTGAGCTGAATTGACAACAGTACCTGTCTTGCTTAGCTTTAACAAGAATTTTGCAGCACTTGCAACACACATAGAGTGTATGTCATTTTAATGCCGAAGATTAGAAGTATTGCTAGAGAGCACTATACAATAAAAAGAAAGAGGAGAGCAGATGAGGACGATAGATGTTTGGTAAAGGAATTAAGAAGCTAACAGCACCAAAGCACCCGCCAACCACCCACACAAAATGTCTAACACAATCATCCTGAAGTATTATACCTTCTTTCTCTCTCATGTATTGATTTCTTCTAACTCGATTGTTTCTGGGGATCCCCAGAGATGAGAGTTTCCTCTTGTGACAACCCAATGACAAAAGTGAAGGAAACTGGTCTTGGCTTTGGAATTAGAACTTTTGGCGTTCGTTGAGATTGATTTGGTATCCAATAAAGGTATTCTCGTCTCGTTCTGTAAAAAATAATCTACAGGTACAGTGTTAATCAACTCTAGTTGAAACACTCACTCTAATGAGGAATTGATTTTTTATCTTTTCCTGAACGCATGAAAGATTTATTAATGAAATAAAAATAATAATAATAAAACTGATGATGATGATAATAATTGCTTGTATAGCAGGCATCCACGCTCTAAAACATGCTCTAAGCACTCTTTACAATCTTTATGAATACCAAGCAGATCTTAGAACACTCAGAAATTTTAAAATCCAAAATCCTGCACATATTTTGCTGTTGTTGTTTCTACCAAACACAAAAGCGCCATGTATTTGACAGAAGTGTGCAGGGTAAAAAAAAAAACACACAGAAAAAAACAAAAAAAAAACAACCCAACTCAAAAAAACGAAACAAAAATAAATAAAGTGTCACTGACCGGGGTACCCTCTGACCCAAATTGTGACGTTCCTGTCCCCAGCCAGTGCGCTCCTCTAGTCTTTTCTCGCCACTTGGCACCATGTTGGACCACGGACACGATGGTCTTGGTTCGAATCTCAGACTGGGTCTTCTTGAATTCATATCGTTTTGTGGTGTTTTCGAGACTCTCAACCTAACAGGCTCTGTCTTATTTATCGGAGACGGACGTTACATTCCGAGGTTCTGCCTGTTGATAAACCTAATAGTGTTGTTTAAGGCGTGAAACCAGTACACTTATTTATTTTATTTTACCTTCTGTTCTTGGTACGTTACTCGCCAGTTACACCTCTTTTTTTTTCGTTTTCGTAAGAGTTTTACGGCACTTGCAACACAATAAGGTAATGAATACGTGCCACAGATAAGAAATGTTACAAGGGAAGAAATAGACACAAAAAGAAATAGGTGAGATAAAGATGATAGATGTTTGTTAGGAAAGAAGAAGCAAACCACACCAGAACACCCGCTAACCCCTCACGCTACACCTCTAATCCTCGGAACTTAAACTTACTTACTTTACTTTTACTTTTTCCTTCCTCTGGTATCCTTAGGATGTCGTGGGGAGGTGGAGGTTTCAGTCCTGTGCTAGGTGTGTAGTGTCTGTGATAGATATGTTATGTTGTTCCAGGATCTTTTTAACCCCAGCCAGCCAGGTCTTATATGACCTATTTATTGATGAGGCAGCGGAAGCCCCAGAACAACATACATTTACTTGGGGAACCTAAACAAATGGGTGACAGGGAAAGATCAGGGAAACGTAGCTTTTTGAGAGCATCCGAGCAAAGGAAAGAATGGAGAACCATGATCGCCGATGTCTGTCGCAGATCTGGCACTGGATGATGATGATTGGTGTTGCAAGTGCCGTAAAACTATGACATCACCTTTGACCGTGTCATTTCTGTCGCCAGCCCTGGATGTGAAAACGGCCTGACGCTTCCGGACGGGGTCTGTGACTGTTACACCTGTTGGGAGGGCGAGACGTGTGCTCAGTATGGTGAGTTTTTGTTGTTACTGTTGTTGTTGTTGTTGTTGTGTTGTTGTTGTTGGTGTTGTTGTTGTTGCTGTTTTTGTTGTTAGTGGTGGTGTTGTTGTTGTTATGGTGTTGTTGTTGTTGTTGTTGTTGTTGTTGTTATTATTGTTGTTGTGGTGGCGGTGTTGTTGTTGTTGTTGTTGTTGTTGTTGTTGTTATAGTTGTGGTGGTGACGGTGATGGTGGTGGTGTTGTTGTTGTTGTTGTTTTTGGTGGTGGTGGTGGTGCTGCTGCTGCTGCTGTTGTTTTTGTTGTTGTTGTTATTTGTTGTTATTTTTATTTCATTTCTTTTTCTATTTTTGTTTTTACGCTCATATCGCACAATATAAATGATGAAGGAGGCGGGCTTCAGATCCTGCATGACGTCATTGCTAGCCCGTGCGGAGAGGGATACGACATCCCGGGAGGGAACAGTTGACATGCTCGATAAAAATGTATCCCTACTCGGAAATCGATATCGGGTTTCCTGCGTGCAAAATCGAAATGGTTACATAGATTGATGAATGGGTGACTGAATGAATGGAAGTGTTGACGGATGGATGGATGGATGGATGGATGGATGGGTGGATGGATGGATGGATGGATGGATGGATGAATTGATGGATGGATGGATGGAGGGAGGGAGGGA